CCAAGGTAATGGGTTTAACCCTGTGAACCCATTATTTTCATTACCCTCAACAGTCACAGACTTTATCCTTAACGGTGGCCAGCCTTTTCATAAATTCATCCTGTTAGTCATTAGAAAGACAAGGCCAGAGAGTGTAGATAGCTTAAGACAAATTTATTATTGCTGGAAAACAGCTCAAAGCACATGACCTGCTGTTGGCAGGTTAAGAGTACCAGCTTCAAATATGAAGGTCAGCATTGTGATAATGATGTATCGATATTTAATTAAATGTGAAAGAAAATAACAAGTGTGCAGAATATTGATTTTAAGAGCTAATTTTATCAAATTCCACTTGTTGAGTCACCAAGAACATCTTTAAACGTTTTCTGGAAAATCTTCACTTATGGGATTTAAAAATGTTATTTCATTACAATATAGTAATTCATTACAAGGAAAAAATTTTTTTAATATAAATAGGAGTACTTCTTCTTAGCTTACGAGTCTTTAAGTAAAGGTTTCTGCTTTGGTTTTTGATTTTTATAAGATCATGGTAAAGTGAACAACATTGGGAACAGTGGAGATGCTGGGGGAGAGAGTTTTTGCAAGGTATAAGAGATGAGATTCAGAAGATGGGGCGAATCAGAGAAAGTCTCCAAATGACATTGTATGAAACTTGCATTTTTCAATTCCCCTACAAATAATGGGGAACCCACTTCCATGTTTTCTATATGCTGCTTTCCTTCAAAGTGCATGGCATAGAATGTTAGGTACCTACCATGTGCCAGGCTTTGTATGAACTGGGACATAAAACTGAACCAGACACAATTCCTGATACCAAGAATCTCAAATTTTGATAAAGAAGACAGATAATTAAAATTCCTGGGTAGCTCCAAAGAAGAGGTAAAAAAAAAATTATTCCCTATTTGTGTTATTGGTATATTCCTTCTATGAAGGATGCAGCTATTGTATTATTATTATTTACAGCGTGAATTACTATGGAAAGAGGCAGTTGTCAGGGACTGTTAACACAAATTGGGAAGGTGGGTTCTAGAATGTTAGGTGAGAGAGCTCCACATAGCTTTCCTAACCTGGATGGTGGGTGTTTTCTGTGGTTCATGGGGAACACCTTACTGGTTGGGGGGTTAAATATTTCCCCCAGGTTTTGAAAACACCAGCAAGTGAACAGCTAATGCCTCAGATTTATCTCTAAGTCGGCTTATTTTACATTTATGGTATTTCTTCTGCTTGTGTTACTTAAGCTTTCTTTATTCTTTAGTGAATTCTTGTTTGAATATTCTAACCATGGTTTGGCTGTCCTACAGGTATTTAAGAAACATAATTTGTTCATAGTTGCCAAACTTTCCCCAAAGTCATTAAGACTGCTCTTAATGATAATCTCTAAGGGTGGTAATCAGCAAAAATGCTCTTAGGGGAAGAGGAATCTTAAGGTCAGTTCAGGGCTGTGTGGTCTATTTAACCTCTCCAGTGGTTATTCTCTGTCCAATGTTACTCTGTGGGGGAAACTGCCAGCTGTCCACCAAAACTGTTTACTCACAGTACTAGAGTCACACTTAGGAAGTGACTACCCAGCAATTTTTGCAGCTAGTTGTGACATGTGACAATTCTTGACAATTGCCTGTGAACCAGAGCTCTGTGGGTCACTTCAAGACCACAGGCTTTAAGAAGGGATCAGATATCTGTGCCTTCTCCAATGCCCTTCTGCTTGCTTGATGTAGGTAGCGGTTCTTTGGGGATCAAAAAGTCCCAGGATGGAAGGAAACAGGAACCATGAATCACTCATAGAGAAGAGCGGTCTTCTGATCTGAAATTCCTATCCTGGGCTCTTTCATGAGCAAAAAAATAGCCTCCTATGGTTTTTGTGCTGGTACATTTTGGAGTCTATTTGTTACAACAGATAAGCTATCTTTTTAGAGATTCTGGGATCATGATAATGATACTGATCATTATGATGGAAAGTATGATAGAAAGCAGCAATGCTTTAAAGACATTTCATAGCACATTACAAAATGCTTGCAGAGCAGAGGATAGTTTTTCAGGTGATACTCCAGTTGGAATTTTGCATTTTCCCATGAAGATATCAATGAAGCTTTTCTACTACTACTTCAGATCACAAAACTCATAAAGCAGAGTAAAGGCACAAACCACTTCCAGGTAATTGCAAGCTGTAACAGACATTTTGCAGGGGGAACAAACCTTAAGTTTTAGTACTTATAGAACTGTGGATTCCGAAGGAGAGTTAACAGAGAATCAAGTGTTCTCAGCAATTGTTACAAAACCCCTAACACATCATGCTGAAGCAGACAAGATAGGACAGGGAGTAGTGTGAAAATGGCAGATATACAAGTGTTAAAACTAGTATTAATAATAATAATTAATAATAATAATATTAGAAAAGAGGTAGACCAGAAAAGAGATATTTCTATTTATCACATTTGGTTAAGGTATTTCATTTCCCTAATGGAAGGAAAATGATATAAGGGCCATGAGGTATATTTTATCATTTGTTCTATATGTCAATTAATGTCATATTAATAAGAGGCCTATACTCATAATTAAAGCTAAGGTATGCAGAGAGGGTTTATTGATTAATTAATTACTGATCATGAAACTAGGATGGAGGCTAGAAGCATAAGGCTTTGGAGATAGGACTGGGTACAAATTTTATGCTTGTTGCATATTAGCTTTATGACTCAATCTAGGTTGTCTAATTTCTAGAGCCTCAATTTACTTATTTGTAAAAATGGGAAAAATTACCTCATACAGTGATTTCAAGGACAAAATAAACTATCTGCACATCAGTACGGATCTGATACAGATGGGTCATTAATAGTATCTCCTATTAATTAAGACTAAATATTCTGGAGTTTTTCCTTTATAAATTAGAAAATAAATTTCTTTAGAATTTAGAGCTTATTTCCTCTCATTTGCTTAGGTTTTCATTTTGAAAGTAAGCTTGGTGTAGTCTGAAAAGCAAAGCAAATTTGGCATGAGAAAGCATAGTGTTTTGATTTTTAAAATTGTTCATTTACAAACTTTATAACTTTTATCCTTTGGACTGGTATTATAAATATCTTGAAAAGATGTTTAAGACTCTATCAGCTTTACAATATGTTTTCACCCATTAAAAAGCACCTACATTTTGCTAATCAATTCCCTATGATCTCAGCTCAAAAAAGAAAAAAAAAAAAAAAAAGGAAAACTCCCTTCTTTGCTTTTAAAACGAATTAATGAAATTATGAAAATACCTTATCAATGAACTTAACTATTTACCATCCAGCTATTTTGTCTGTGAATGCCCCAAAACCAGTTTGATCAATTTTATAACCAAACTTATTCTATGTTTAAAAAACAACAAAATATGCGTATTAATTAATGAGTCATGAAATAATCTGCCCCTTATTTCAGTAGCTGCCCACTCTTGGAATAGCACCTTGATTTCTGCACACCACAGTTCTTAACATCTTATCAATAGTCAATTTCCATAGTTAACAGAACCTTGATATGGTCAAGGTCAATCTTTTGGAAAATTCAAATGCAAAATCATTTGAAATGTCTTTTCATCATTTTGTTATTTTAAAGAAACAACTCATTATTCTTTTTCTCCTCCTCTAAAACTACTGCATTATTTGAGAATATAGTTTTAATTTTAATACAAAACTTTATAGCACCAATTTAAACAGTATAATTTCCTTTCTACTTCTGTAGCTTGTTAGCCACTCTCAGGAAATTATCAAAAAAGATTTACATTTTTATATATTATTTCATAACCATTTCCTTTAGAGCATACTTCAAGAGTAGGATAGCATGAATCCAGGAATATCTCATTCTCTTGAAGGCAGCAGTGAAAACGTTAATTCACAGCCGCATTTATGAGTTTTATTTATACGTAACCTGTGGTAAAAAGATTTATCTGTCAATTATTAAACTATTTTTCTCAAATGTCAAGAATGCATACTAGTATAAAATCAATTAATGCAGATATAAAAGTAGTTTTTGTTTAAGTAAAGCTTGAAATTAAAAATAGGGCAGTATGTTAAAAATCTGAGTTAATACTTGAAACTCCCAGATGGAACAGAAAAGAAGGGGATTGGAAGCGAGAGAGAGAGAGAGAGAGAGAGAGAGGAGAAATGAAGAGGATGAGAGGGAGGAGAGGAGGAGGAGAGGAGAAATGAAGAGGAGAGAGGGAGGGGAGAAGTGAGGGAGAGAGGGATTGAGATTGATTTTGAGATCGGTCAAGCATCACATCCTTTTTTTTTTTTTTTTTTTTTTAACATTCTGGCATAAAAATATTTAAAAGATCCGGACAACCACAACCAGAACACTAATCCGTTTTTCCTTACTTTAAAGACATAAGTGATATGATTTTTTTTTTTAAGTCTCACTGGGTACACCAGGAAAATTATTCAAAAGCCATGCGGTAGGGTGCGAACTAAGAGCATTCTTCAAACAAACGCGACCTTTTCTGTTTCTTGTACTCCTTTTCTCAACCCAGCCAGAAAACCCAGACAAGTTTATTTACACACACACACCCGCACACGCGCACACACACACACACACACACACGCAGAGAGAGAGTGGCGGAAACGCCCTCTCTCCATCCCTTCCAAACAATTATCTCTGAGAGCAAAAGAAAATAATCAACGGCCCTCTGTGCTGGGCGGCTGAGCAGGAGAGCCGGGCGCCGGGAGGGAGGGCGAACCGCAGGCAAGCAGGGAAACGTGGCTCCTCCGCCGAGGAGAGGATTTGTGAAGGGGAGCGCTGGCCCGCGTGCGCCTCTTGTTCCCCGTGTAATTTGCAGCCAATCATCAGTAGGTGTCCACGTCCCTGCGTCCTCCTCACCTCGGCGCCAATCACCCCCCCGCCCCCGCCCCCGCCCCCAGCCTCCACACCTCCTCCCTCGCCTTTCTCTCGCGCTCCCCTCCCCCAGCAACCACACACACGCACACACACACACAAACAGAGAGGGAAGGGGGGGAGGGTGAGAGAGAGAGAGAGGGGAGAGAGAGAGAGAGAGACTCCCCGGCTCCCTCCCTCCCTCGCACACAGCGACTGGAGACGGACGGAGAGCAACGCGCTGGGAGAGGAGAGACCACCGAGAACAGCCCCGCGCTCTCACACATACACTCACACTCGGCTCTTTCCTCTCCCCCCACCTCCTCCTCCTTCCACCCCCACCACTAACACCATCTCCTCCTCCTTCTCTCTGCAACAAGAAAAAAAAAGCCATTTACAGGTATTTTTTTTTTGATCCGCATATTTATTTATCCCCCCCCCAACAGTTTGTTTACAAGTATTAAAGTTGTAATTGGGAGCTGCCAAGACACATCTGGATTTGTGTTTCTTTGTGTTAGGGGGTGATGTGCAACTAATTAAAGGCAGACTAGCAGCGTCTGCAAATTCTAAGGCTCCCCAAATAAAAAGAGACTGGTAAGTGATTGTTCTTTCTCTTTCTCTGGCTTTTTTTCTCTTAAATGTTTGCTGTCCGTTGGGATTGTAAAAGTAGATTATTAATGCTGGACTCCAGCAATAAAAGGCGTCGCTGTATTAATTTATTAATTAATCTGCACCCGCCCCTCCTCCTGAATGTTAAATATGACCTTTGATCTCTATGTCTCTGGTAGACCAGACATACAATATTAGGCATGTACAGTCACATTGTTTAAAGGCAAAACAGGATCATGAAGTATGATTGTCTAATTTAGCTTTGGAATAGGACTATAGTTATTTGTGTGTGTTTTATTTTGTTTTTTAAAGAAAATCCAAACAATAGCTGTGGCTTAGGTACCTTTTTCATGCTCCAGAGATGCATTGATTAAACAATAATGACCTGGATACTGGGCACAATCATTTTCTACAGTTTCTGGTGGCATTAAACCTTGAGGGAGGAAGGGGGAGGTTATGGCAATAAGAAAAGCAAGGAAAGCTTCTGTTTGCAAACAGCACTCTAATACTCTGGAAAGGGGACATTAAATTATTTCTTTATATGGAACAAGGTCAGAAGACTAAAATACTGAATTTTTTTCTCTCCACTCAATGTGATAGCTAATGCATGGTTGGCATAACTAGTTTTTACTGAGTAGCAGTTATTATGGTCTTTCAGTTACAATGTGATTCGCAGAAACTGAAGCTATATGCATATTCTTGCTGTGTCTTCCCCTACCCCCTTCCAAGCATCAAGAATATTTAGCCAGGAGCATTTTGGGGGCACCCTTTGTATTGCCATCAGACCTCTGAAGGGAGCAGTTTTCCCTAATGCGAAACCACAGAGGTGGTTCCTGAGTGATTAGGGACTTGCTGTGATTGAAAGATGCCTGCTAGCTTCTAATCCAGCCTGGGGTGAGGTTCCTTATCTTGATTTACTTTGCCTAATAGGGATTTGTTTACATAAACCCCTCTTTTTAGGGCACCTCATCAGCAGGTCTTGAAGTTTTTGCACTTGGAGTTTGGGCATAAATGGTTCATTAATCTAATTATAAGCATAATTACTATAATTGATATCCATTTCGAACTGAATATTTGAGACTGAGACTACTGGGCCCCCATTTAGAATTCCCTGAACTCCACATTCCAGACCAACATGTGGGCTTCAAAAGATGTCACAGAAAGATACTCTGCCCCCCCAAAAAAATCTGGAAACAAAGAAACTGGTTTTTTTAGGTTAATATACACTTTATGTCTTTGCGTTACTTCTTAAAAGGCTGAGATGTACCTCTTCCTCTGTGATAAACAACTAAAATACCTCTTCCTAAAGCATAATAATGGCCTGTAAGCAAAGGTATGAATGCAAATACCCAGTTAACATTAAACTTTCCTCTTAAAAAGAGCAAAAGAAAGAAAATCTTTTTTATGGTTATTTCTTCAAGTAAACAACACCTTAAGGGATCTCCCTTCCTCCCCAACCCACCACCTTTTTACTCAATGTAAAAACCAGTGACTATGAGAGATCCTTAAAAAAAAAAAAAAAAAAAAAAAAAAAAGTCCCATGCTTTCCTCTTGTCTTGGGAAGAGACAGGAGTCTCCATTAGGAATTATTGGGAATATTCTTAAAGAGGCTGCAGGCGCTTGGTTTAAAACGGGTGACATTGTTTGTATTATTTTTAAAAATTTGTATCTGGTCCATCTTTCTTTCCTTTCTTTATTTCTTTTAAACAAGTAGAACACCACCCTCTTACCCCCACCGAGCCCCACCACCAAATGGCTTGTACAATTGAGACCTGTCCTTGGTCCATTGAATTAAGACCCTAACAGAGCCAGCTGTGCTGGGATTCAAACTAATGACCGCAGACACAGAAGGACACTGTGGCAGCTGGTAGTTCTTTTTTCCCTGCCTCTTTAGTTCAGATTGTATGTGGGCAGTCTCTTAGCTCTCAGTTGTATTGTGTTTGCTTACAGTTTATACTCGGATGTATTGTAGACTTTCTCAGTACTTCATTTGCTAATTTCCTGTTCATTTTCCTCATAGGGCCATTGCTGTTTTCTACTTTACAGCATTTGCATGCCCAGGCAGCACTTGTTCACACATTTCATAATGTTTAAATGCCCTCTGCTTATAGGTAGTATCGCCCTCCCACCCCTGATTTGCATGTCTTTAGCACTCCAATTGCCCTTTTCCCTCGGCATTTGTCACCCCCGTCTTTCCTCTTTCCCTGGGTATCCTGGCTATTAATACATTTTCTCTGGAGGGTTATGAGAATAGGGAGGAGGAGCTGTGGTGTGCTGTGGGGAGGGAGGGAGTGGGTTGGGAGCGTGTGTGGGGGGTGGGGGGAATGGCGGGGGGGGGGGTCACGTCTTGATGATTGTCATGCAAACGACCTGACGAAGAATGTGGGAGTTCTCTGTGTCTGCGGTGGGGTAGTGAGGGAGGCTGTTTATTTATTTTAATCTTTTTCCTCGTGCAGCTCGTTGGAATGACTTTCTTTATTTTAGTTGTAACAGTTGGAGGATAATGCTAAGGAAGACGCTGCCTGGGAATTCACCGTCTGTGGAAATGCGCCCCAGAGAGGAATAAAGCAGTCCTCACCTTGCTTTCCCCACCCGGACCTACTTTCCCCTCCCGCCTCGGCCCCCACCCCAACACCACCATCACCCCCTTCCCTCCCCCCCACCTTCCCCCCTTTCCCACCCAGGTGTCGGACCAGGCGGTCCCCACTTCCACCCTGCACCCCTTCTTTCCCCCCTGCACCATGAACACCAATGTCTGCGTGGAGCCCGGGCCGAGCCCGGAGGCCCCGGGCTTGCCCAAGGAAAGCCACCTGCCCGAGGGGGCCCTGAACAGCCTTGTGGATTACAACTCGGAGATGGAGCGCTACCGCTCCTTTGCCACCTCCTTCTACAAGACCAACGGGGGCGCCTTCCCGCAGGCGGCCAAGATCGCGCGCATCACCACCCCCATCTTCCCCAGCAGCGCCGCCGCCGCCGCGGCCGCCGCGCGCATCGGCATGTCCCCCTGGAACTGCGACAACGCGGCCACCGCCGCCGCCGCCACCGCCATGCTCTGGGGCAGCGGCGGGGGCGGGGGCGGCGGCGGGGGCGGCAGCGGCGGCGGGGGCGGCGGGGGCGGTGGCGGGGGCGGCGGGGGCGGCAGGAAATCCTCCTCCGCCGCCGCCTCCTCCTCCGCCTCCTCTTCGGCAATCCTCCCCGCCGGCGGCGGCGGCGGCGGCGGCGGCGGCGGCGGCGGCGGCGGCGGCGGCGGCGGCGGCGGCGGCGGCGGCAGCAGGACCAGCATGCACCACCGAAACGACTCCCAGAGGCTGGGGAAAGCTGGCTGCCCGCCAGAGCCGTCGTTGCAAATGGCAAATACTAATTTCCTCTCCACCTTATCCCCTGAACACTGCAGACCTTTGGCGGGGGAATGCATGAACAAGCTCAAATGCGGCGCTGCTGAAGCAGAGATAATGAATCTCCCCGAGCGCGTGGGGACTTTTTCCGCTATCCCGGCTTTAGGGGGCATCTCATTACCTCCAGGGGTCATCGTCATGACAGCCCTTCACTCCCCCGCAGCAGCCTCAGCAGCCGTCACAGACAGTGCGTTTCAAATTGCCAATCTGGCAGACTGCCCGCAGAATCATTCCTCCTCCTCCTCGTCCTCCTCAGGGGGAGCTAGCGGAGCCAACCCGGCCAAGAAGAAGAGGAAAAGGTGTGGGGTCTGCGTGCCCTGCAAGAGGCTCATCAACTGTGGCGTCTGCAGCAGTTGCAGGAACCGCAAAACGGGACACCAGATCTGCAAATTTAGAAAATGTGAAGAGCTAAAGAAAAAACCTGGCACTTCGCTAGAGGTCAGAGGAGATGATTTCTTGTTTCCCAGTCTCCCCCCCTCCCTCCTCACTCCCCTCTCTTCTCCCCTTCAGGGCTTCTTGTCTGGCTTGAAGATGCAGTACCCCTTTCCTGAAGCTTCATTCAGGCTGTAAGATACAGTTGCAGGTGGTTGTGAGGGCACGGCCTCTTCACCACCCTCCCCAGCTGCACTTCGCGTGGAACTGGCCTCCAGATGGGGGGGGGGGGTACCCCCCCTCCTTTTTTTTTTTTTTTTTTATCTGCGGTGGTAAACTAATGTAATTGGTTTAAAAAAATCAGAAGTTTCACATTCAGTATGCTCAAAAATGCCCCTTGGTGGTTTAATATGCCCCCTCCCTGTTAGTATTAGTTTTAAAAGCATCTCTGCCCAAAGGATTGGACATACCACATTTTATATACTTTTATTGGCTAAGAGAGATATTAGTGGCCCAGTTATAACAGTGAGGACACCATTTGTGGCACACAAGCCTGTGTTTGCATTAAGACACACACACAGAGGAATCTTGGAAGCTGAAATAACATGGATTTAAAAGGGTGTTCTAGCCCTTCCAGAAGTTTTTCTCTTCACCATGATAAAAATGTTTCTGTTTCCCATTTTCTGCATATCTGGTATTTTTTGAGAAAGGAGAAATAATATGGAAAGCTGAACACCACCTGCAATTTTTGAGGGGGTGTGTCTTAAAATCAAGTGATAGAATGAGTTCATTTCAGACAGGTGATGGTAATTTTATTTAAGAATTGTTTTACATAATCTCACAAACAAATGATTACTAAAATTTGGTTACCAAAGAATATTTCCTCTGCGCTCTGCATTTGACAAAGTAACCATTTTGTGGTCACAAAACTGTTCTATAAATGAAGCACAGTTTTGATTGATACGCTAGGTAGTCAACAATAGTTTTTGGGTTTTTTTTTCCATATGTCCTTAAATTAGACAATGTACCGACTGTCACTAAAGTAATTGTTAAATTAGGCTTTTAATTATGTTAAATACAAAGAGTGATGTGTTTGGTGGGAATTTCATATGGTAACATGATCAAAACAAAAAGGGAAAAAATGTACAATCATAGGTAAACGAAATGATTTTAGTGGCATGTTTACCAAGATGTATGAACAAATAATCATATTTAGCCCCTTGATATCGTTTACAGAGTAGGTGGCAGGATGTTCATATATACTTGAGAATATAGGTGGTAGATTTAGCATTTGGGAATATTCTATGGTCTAGATTACAGAGTGAGATTGTCTCTCACAAGTTATCATCAGAGGGGCAATTGCACATTCTTTTTAAAAATTGTGAGCACTGCTTAAAGGAGTTTTTTCCATGAAGGACTGGTCTTTAAAAGGATTTTTTAAAAAGGAAAGTTAAAGAATTTTGTTGGAGGCTAGAACACAAATAAGGTATAGTTTTTTTCAAGTTTTATTAATATGCAAGGCAAATAACATTTTGAGATTAAAAAAAAAGTATTATATTGATATCGTTATTGATTGTGATCAGTTCCATCAAAATGTTACATGTATTCCTCTTTATAAGAAAACCCATCTCTTTGTCAAAAGTTTGACTTTACTCCAGGGTGGTTTATTACACTTCCTTTGGCAACACTGCTTAAACAAAGATAATAACAATTATAAAAATGCAGGTCCCTGTATTTTGTTGGTGGCAAAAATTCGTTTTTAATTTTTAAATTCCATTTTCTGGACTAGTTTGTTGTAACTTACCTCTAGGTCTCTAAGGCCCATGGAAGTTAAAATTCAGTTCATACTAAATTTCTTGTTAATGCCCAGTTGATAAGGACTAGATGGTTTTTATTTTTCCACTTGAATTGTATACTGTCTAGAATTACAGATTTCATGTTGCTAGTAGGCCACATCTTCAGCTACACCTATGGCACTGCCTTGTCCTAATTTAGAGTATGTAGTGGGTAAGACCACTGAATAATTCTGATTTATTTAGTAAATAACTTCTTTGCAGGAGCTTAGTGTGGGTACCAATAGGTTTTCTGCACAAGTTTCTATGCTGATGTATCAGTCTAGACAAACTTCATAAATTCCCTTTTTTTTTCTGCCTTTGGATAGTTTTCCCACAAACTGGTTGTGATGCTTAAATTCCTTAGACATTTTGATCCCATAGTATTATGTTTTCTTCCTCCTCCTTCTCCTTCCTCCTCCTCTTCTTCTCCTTCTTCTTTTTTAATCCAAGTGCACAACAGTTCTGTTGATCTTCAGAAAATGGGGTGTGGGTGAGAAAGGAAACACATCCCTGTCTTTGTAGAGCTCTCTGAAGATGTTTTCCTAACTACATACTCCTTCCTACCAGAGAATGGGGTCATGGTTCAAGGCTAAGATCGTTAGCAGAGTGTTATTTGGTAGAAAGAAAAAGTTTGGTGGGGGGGGGGTGTTTTATTTCATTTTTTTAATTGGCTAAGATTCTCTCTAGGTTATTTTAAAAAGGCAATGGCAGACATAAGCATACGTGTAACCACACAGTTATGGCTGTAGGGAAGCAGCTGGATGCATGTCAGAGTGACAGGGTTTACATGACTGAACCAAAGCTGGAACAGTGTTTGCTGGTTGGTGAAAAGTCCCCTGCTGACCTGCTTCCCTCTCTAATTTGGTTCCTGTAAGTTATCGTCATCTGTGGAGATGTTTTAGAGATTGGTTAGACTCCCTAGATGAGGACAGTGATTTGGGGATTCATTATGGATATCACCTGTGGACCTCAGGTTTAAGTTCAGTAACTTGTATTTGTTGGCTTTAAATTATGGACACCAATTAATAGTTGCATCATAATCATTAGTTATATTCTGATTTATCATTTCAAACCTCATGCGTCCTTCTTTCCTTTGACTTATTCTCATCCCAAAGGCTGGAGGCTTAATCAGATTTTCAGGGTGAGTAAACTGAAACACATGGAACATGGAAGTGTTGGGAGTCTTGCCCACATTTTTTTGAAGTCCCCCCTCTGGCATTCCTTTTAAAACAGCCTTACTTATTTTCACATTTTCCTGCTTAGTCTCATGTTAAGAACATCTTACTGCCTTGGAAATATGTTTATAAAATCACATCCTTGATAATATTCCATAAGATAATAATACACATATAACAAATTCAGTTTTTCTGTGATACTGTGCACTGTATATTTGCATAGAACACTGTTCATTTAGTCAATTATTACATTTAAAAACTATCATTAATTATTCAAAGCAGCTATTACAAATACCATATGCCCCTTCTGCAACAAAACTTATCTTAAAAACTTGCATCCTAAATGATCAATACCAAATTGAGAGATTTTAATAAACATGTGATTATGCATTATGATAATAAGTTACATAATAGCACTTTGTCTCATGCAAAAGTAACCAATCCTTCAGTTTTCATATTTGTAGCAGTTACATTTCTGATATGAAGATCTAACTTTTTAAAATATCCAACTCGATATGGCTCAAGGGATAGGATTGTCCCATGGGCAACCGCAGCCTCTTAGTGCCTGAACATTGTTCAGGTGACATGATTGATCTCTGTGGGACAGCATTAGAGACCACACAGATCTGGTTCCTCTCCCATTAGCTGATTTATGGAATTACATTAGTAAGCAACACCTCAGGAGATTTCCCTGCCCCCACCCTTGGCTCTCAGCTGTAAGTTACATGGCTGCCACCACAAGTTAGAGGAGGGACTTGAAATCATTATAGTAAAGAGACTATAGTGAAGAGAAAATGGAACTTCAAGAAAAAGGGACAATTTCAATCTCTTTTCTTTTAAAATCTTTCTCTCATTAAAACATATATCTACTGAATATTCAGGCCAACAAGTTAGGTTGAGCTACTAAGGGGTTTGGTGGAAAACACCCAAATATTGTCCCAAACTTGGTAACTTGATTTTTATTTTATTTTATTTTATTTTATTAAGATTTTATTTATTATTTGACAGAGAGAGACACACAGTGAGAGAGGGAACCCAAGCAGAGGGAGTGGTAGAGGGAGAAGCAGACTTCCCCCTGAGTGGGAAGCCTGATGCAGGGCTCCATCCCAGTACCCTGGGATCATGACCTGAGCTGAAGACAGATGCTTAACGACTGAGCCGTCCAGGCACCCTGATAACTTGATTTTTTAAGGAGTATTTTAGGGGAAGAGGACACATTTCTTTATATATGCCATTAAGTTCCACCACACAAAAAGCAGTCATAAAATTCTGGACACAACATTGTCTACAAGGAAGATGGTACCTGCTTCCTAAAGAAATTTATTTATAGACCATATGTAAAATTTGTGTGTTCTTCAAACTCAGAATATGTATAGTTAAATAATGAAAACAGCCAATAATTGAACATGTTATAAGTTTTTGAAGTTTGGTGACTTTAAAAAAATGTATAGGTAAACACATGTTTCATATCTTAAATTGAAACATTCATCAGTTTGTCATTTTATATCACAATTTAAAAATGAGTTCTGTTTTTAGTTTCAAAAACCAAAAACATACTAGTATAAAAATATGAATTTTTGTTTTATTATCAAAATGCAAGTATGTAACTATCAAAGGGAAAGAGGAAAGTTGTCAATCAATTCAAACAAATGATAGTATATTAACACTAGAGTGTAATACAGAACTCATATAGGAAAAAAGATCCTGAGTTTCATAAATGATAAGAAAAAGGTTCAGAAAAGTTTAGCTTTAACTAAAGACAAGTAGATTTGTAGTCAAGTCATCAAACTGTAATACAAGTTCAGTGAGATTTTCCTTCTATCACTACATTTAATACAAGGTAGTCAAAGTTTTTTTTTTTTAAAGAACCATGCCTTTTTAATAATTCCTAAATGAAAATAATACCCCACCCATGCAAATATCATATAAATTCTAAGCAATCTTTCGTATGCCAATTAGGAATAGTAAAATAAAGGTAATTAAAATCCATATGTAAGTTATCTTCTAAGAATGTGTGAAATTCAACTGTCATCAAACAAAATACAAATAAATAAGC